ATATTAGGTGCATAAATGTATAGGAGTGTGAGGCCTTCCCATAATCATTATGAAATGACTATCTCTGTCTTTTATATCAATTTAAGCTTGACATCTATGGTGTATGACATAAGATTGGCAACCCAGTCTTTTCTGAGGTGGTCTGCTTGTTTGAAATATTGTCTTCCAATATTTGACTTTAACTGTGTATTTACCCTGACTATGTGTTTCTTGTAGGTAACAGAAGGTTGGTTTCAGTTTTCTAATGCACCCTGCAACTCTATCTGTTGATTGGTATACTTAGGTGTTGACATTGAGTGATATTATTATCATGGAGAAAAAAGAATAGCTGGATAATGCTTTCTTCATTCCCTGGCAAAGCTATTTTGATCAGATCTGTTGCTAATAACTAGGTGTTCAGAGTCCCATGTGCTGATTCCAGGAAGGGTTATGTGTCATTGATCCTGCCCCTAATTCCACTTACTATTTTGTTGTAACAAACAACATAAATTTATTTTGTACCTGATAAGGAGCATTAAGGGTTGGCGGGAAACTGGGGGCAATGATGGAGGGCAGGTCACACTGTTGAAACACTGAGTGCCTGAAACAACTGCATGATGAGCAACTTTGCAAACCATGGTGTTTAAATAAAGGTAAGGGGGGAACAACATAAGATGGGGTTGAGGGAATCTGAAAAGAAATGGAATGAGTTTAAGAACAGTTTAAGAGCCATCAGTCTCAAGGAACAGAAAGGCAAATTTTATGAACTACCAGTTAAAGAAATCACAGATAAGAATTTCTCATAGCTGAGGAATGCAGGTACCTAGATCCAAGAAGCTGGAAGGAAACCAGCAAAATAGACCCAAAGAGAAAACCTCAGAGGAACATTGTACTCAAAATGACAAGAGCCAAAGACAGACAGAACATAAAAGCAGCACATCAAAAAAGGAAGATGGAGGAATGTACGTGCAACTGGAAATCACTGGGACACAAGAGCATCTCTGCAGCCTTTGGCTCTTCTGAGATTTATGTTTGAGTCTCTGGATCATGGCCATTAATGAGGTTATATAGAGCCAGAAGCAGTTCCTGGGTGTGACCGCCAGGCTCCAGAACTACAGAAAAATGTGGGGGAGGTCACTCATTCCCAACTCTGAGGGATCTTGCAGATTTTGGTCACAAAAGCCACATACCTGAGTTTTTCAGCAGATTCATTTTCATGCGTGAGGGGCTCGTCCTGAGCTCGTGGAGTCCCACATGTGAGCATGGTGGCAAATGAGTTCGGGAGGTTTTGGGCTGCTGGGGTTGTATTAGGGCTGGTGCTGGGCTCACCTGCCCCTCTCCGGGGGCCCCGGAAACAAGGTTCAGCCTGGCAGAGCATCTGGAGACATCTCTGCAGCTTGTGTTCCTAATGTGTTTAGATTGGATGTACTTTCAACATATTTTCAGGTGACTTTCTTATACTTTAGAAAATTTTATTAAATTATTTTACTCATTAATATCAGATATTTGAGAATTATTTATAATATTTTATCTTATAACATGGACTGGAGCGATAGCACAGCAGGTACAGCGTTTGCCTTGCATGTGGCCGACCCGGGTTCAATTCCTCCATCCCTCTCGGAGAGCCCAGCAAGCTACCAAGAGTATCCCACCCACACAGCTGAGCCTGGCAAGCTCCACATGGCATATTCAATATGCCAAACACAATAACAAATCTCACAATGGAGATGTTACTGGTGCCCGCACAAGGAAATAAATGAACAATGGGACGACAGTGCTACAGTGCTATCTTATAAGAGTCAACATTCTCTTTTTTGACAGAAAGTACTTTAATAGGAATTAGTGCAATAGTACAACAGGTAAGGAACTTTTCCTGTATGTATCCAACCATGGTTTGAATTCAGATACTCCACATGGTCTCCCAAAGCCTACTATGAGTGATCCCTGAGTGTAAAGTCAGGAGTAGGCCCAGAACACCACTGGGTGTGGCCCCAAAACAAAACAACAACAAAAAAGCATATTTCATAGGCCTACTCAGATTTTTCTTAATTTTTTAAAAATCTCTCTGCTCATACTGACTAACTTGTATATTTGTTTAGACTGAACTCTATGATCATAAAGAGACTTATGATCTCTTTATGACTGATATCAGTAACAGGAATTTGTCACAATGAAATATTCTAGTGGAAAAATCCAGAATGTATTGAAGGAGGGGAGAACTACAAGGAGTCAATTATGAAGAGATCCAGAAACAAAGGGAAAAAATATTGACCATGATTAGATTAAAATTAATTAAATAGTTTAATCAAGAGTACAGTTATCTTGTGCACTTATTACCAAGATTTAGAGGTTTATTAATTCTTTTCTGATATTTCATATAATTTCATAGACTTTAAGAATACTTCAGTAAATCTTAAGTAATTACCTAAGATTTTAAGTAAGAATAATAAGGAAACTGACAAGGAAAAGAGATGAAGCTAACTATATTTATCACCAGAGACTCTACTGCAAGAAAAAAAAAAGAAAAGAAAATAGGCATGGCTTTGCATCATTTTTAAATAACTTGTATTCAATAAACCACTTATAGTCTCCCAAACACTGCCTGTGATTTTCTCTGAGCTCAGAGTTAGGAGTAATCCCTGAGTACTTCCAGGTGTGGCCCCCAAAATAAAATAATGTAAAACATGGGGGTTGGAGAGATAGTATGAGTTAAGGTGATTGTCTTGCATATGCCTGACCCAGCTGAATCCCAGGCAGCTCATATTTCCCTCAGCACCACCAGGAGTTATCCTTGAACACAGAGCCAGGAGTAAGTATTGAGTACTGCTGGGTATGGCCAAGAGCCCAAAATAAATAAAAATAAGCCACATTTATATATATATATATATATAACTTAATAATAAAAAAGACACCACAAAATCATGTTTGTTCAATGTTTGATGAATGGTCCCAAAATATCCATTTCCCAGATACCTTCTATGTCAATAACCTCTGTCTCTCTCCACTTGAGACCCCACTCTGTAACGACCACATCCTGAAACGCATGCTAAAAGAAATGGCTATACTTATTTTATTCTATGTTTTTGGAGGGGGCAGGAGAAGAAGATCACATCCAGTGATGCTCAAGAGTTACTTCTGGCACTGTGCTCAGAGATGATTGCTGGTTGTGTTCCAGAGACCATATGAAGTGCCAGGGATTGAGCCCAAAGCGCAAAGCAAGCACCCTACCCACTGTACTGTTGCTCAGCCCCAGATAGCTACACCTTTTTTTACAACAGGTAAATAACCATAGTCATTTGTTGTTTCCCTGCTCTTATGCCCATTTCACCCATTTACTCCTATCCAAATCTTCAGGCCCTAGTCCATTCATTTCAAGTAATAAGTTTCCTTACCTCCTTCTCATATCCAAACAAAATCCCCTATAATCCAATAATTAACTCTTATTAAAACCCTCCTTCCATCCTTTATTTCCAATATAGCAAACTTGAGCAGTCATCATACAGATGAATCGCTCTCAAATTGTTTTAGGCAACTTCATTACAGAGAAAATAATTCAACAGTTCAAACTTGAGTCAATGGTGTCATTCAAATATATAATAGTACACATACTTAAGTGAATTCATTCTTCCTAGCAATCTATTTCTAACCAAACTTTCCAACTACAAATACCCAGAGTAAGTCACCTATTATTTTCTTAATGCTAAATCTATCGTTTCATTAATAAGGTCTCTTTCAAATTGGCCCAGCAGTATTAAAAACTCATCTTTTCCCCAAAGCACTTATTACTTCTTTGAGTGTTTGCATCTTTTTCACGGTTGTGGGATATAAATTTTTACAAGGAGTTTTTGATTCACTACTTAGAATAGTGGCTGGCATACACAATAAGGGATCACTTTGGGAGATAAATGTCACCTATATCCAGAACAAAAGTTGAAACCACACACAATCCAGAATCAACTTCACTAACTTCCTGAGAGTTTGTCAGATTCTGAGTATATATAAACTGATATCAGTATGAACAAAGCTGCTATGATAGAGAAGTCAAATAAATAAGTCTGACTAGTGTATCTTGCCCGTATGGCAGAGCCTGGCAAGCTACTCGTGACGTATTTGATATGCTAAACACAGTAACAACAAAGTCTCCAATGGAGACGTTACTGGGCCCGCTCGAGCAAATCGATGAACAGCGGGAGGACAGTGACAGTGACAGTGAAGCTTGGAAGATACTACAGAAATTAAGATATTTGCCTTTCCCACAACCTGCCATGTTCAATCCCCAGCACCGCATATGTTACTCTGTGCCAGGAGTGAACCCTGAACACAGCCAGGAGTGAGCTCTGTGCATAGCCCAAACCTCCCCTCCAAAACAGAAATCTGGATAGAATTTCAGCTCCTTATTCCATTTATTTCATTTATTATCATAATAGCATATATCCCTGATTTCTGTGATATATTCTTATTGCCTTATAATAAATTACCTTTCTAACTTGAACTAATGAAATCCCCTTTTCTGCAGTTTACTCCCAAGAGACTCTTTCCTAATAGATTTATCTGTGGTGGAAAGACAACATGATTTCTTTAATGAGGGAGGGGGGCAATGAAGGTAAAATGATTGAGTTCCTATTCTAAGTCCCCAAGTAAATAATATGTGCAAACATCTAAACAATGACTAATTTACTTTAAATGAAAATGTGTGCTATGAAGGTATCCTCTTTTGATTTATCAGCTCTCTATGATACCAGACTTAGGCACTACTTACAGCAAAAGAGCAATTTTCACATCTTATTTACATAACATATTTATATTAGGTTTAAAGCCATTTTAAACAAATTTTATGCTAATCCCATAGAAAGATACTCAATTAAAGAATAGTTCAAGAGCAGAGATGTAAACCTGTACAACAAATTAAGACTGGAGGTCAAATTAAAACGCATCTTAAATTGGCATTTAGAAATAATAAAGCTCTATCCTAGAGAATAGAAATTAAATAATTATCGACGTTACATTTCATGAGCACTTACCAAACAAACGCTGATGGAACAGAAATTTGCCAGCTACCAGTCCTAAGAGAATGGCAAGTAGCCATAGAAGCACCTTGAGAATCCTCCAGGCAACTTCTCTAGGGTATTTATTTGTTACAAATGATATACAGTTTCCAACAACAATAACATTGGCTTCTGTTTGGCTATGAGAAACCGGGTCCTCCGCAAATATTAAGAAGTTAAAGAAGATCACCAAGTAAGCCACGATCAATCGAGACCAGGGATGCTGGAAATAATAGCGGAAGCCTTTACCCATCCTTCAAAACTTTAATTCCAGTGTTTACCTGTAACAAGAAAAAGTACAAAGATTTAGAGGAAACAGAGATCACCTCTATGTTTACTTAAAGTCTCAGACAAATCTGAAATTGAGGGAATGTAATATTATCCCTTCTATATTATTAATATAACTCCAATAGTTTGGGATGTAGGAAATAGGAATAAAAGGTAGGAGAAAAGAAAAGATTTGAGGTGATGAATGAAATATGTAAAGATGATATCTTGAGAGAAAATGCAGAACAAAAAAATAATAATAGTAATGTGCTTCTCCTTTAGAATACCTTCATGTTACAATCATAACAATTACTTAAAAATCAAAGCAACCCAGTGGTAAACTAAGCACATATTTTATGTTTTTCTCTTTGGGTCACACCCTGTGATGCTCAGGAGTTACTCCTGGCACTGCACTCAGGAATTACTACTGGTGGTGCTCAAGGGACCATATTGGATGCTGGGGACTGAGCTCAGGTCAGCCACACGAAAAGCAAACGCCCTCCCCACTGTGCTATCACTCTGGCCCCTAAGCACATATTTTAAAAAGTCAAATATCCCTCTTTCCAAATCAGTTAATACCCCTTAATATTTTCATGAACACACTTTCAGATCTTTTATACACAATGGCAAATATGTTTGCATATAAACATTTACTAAAATGTTCATGATCTAGGACTAGAGAGATAGCAGAGTGGATGAGACACTTGTCTTGCATGCAGTGGACCTGGGTTCAATCCCTAGCACTACATATGGTCCCAAAGCATCGTTAAGGGTGATTCCTATACAGACACAGGAGTACACTCTGAGCACATCTGAGAGTGGCCCAACCCCTTCCTCCAAATATTCATAGTACAGCTGTCTAAAAAATTCAACACAGAATAAATTTTGTGTAATAGTTCTCTATGATAGATCAGTTTCACCTCGGAATAGGATAACAGCCTATAGGCAGTGACAAAAGAATTCACATACCTAGGATTGAGATTGGAGGAATATAGGATTTTCCCCCAGGTCTAGAAGATGAGGAAACTCAGTAGATGTATATGAAAAAGTCACAGAGGCAATGCAAAGTATGCAACATGCAAGTAAGAATGTGTCCTAGCCCTCTGTTAGGACAGAAACTTTCTTAACTGTTGATGCCTAAGATCCACTTTCAATGTGTTGCTCAGCTCCCCTCTTCCCTCTGGGAACCAGCCTGACCCAAAAGAGCACAAGTCTGCCTAGGGAGTACACCAACACTGTTGACTGAGTGAAAAAGTCTAACTCAGTTTCTGGTATTTATATTTGCTGCTCAAAAAAAAAAAAAAAAACATAAACCTCATTTAATCTGGTATAAAGTATTTTACTGTAAATTCTAATTCCTTTTTATTCTTTCTTGGTTTACTCAGAACAGTGATAAAAGAGAGACCCTTACACTTGATGTCCATGTTCTTTGTCACATGCCAGCACCTATTGTAACATGCAGGTCATAACATCACTTCGCATGTGGTCATTATCATTCCCATCCTTCAACTGACAGAGGAGATCTGAGGTTCATACAGATCACTGAACAGAGAGTTCTGACCAGAGTCTCTAACGTCTGACCCCAGAACATGATTGCCGTGTCTTATAGGCAGTCAGATCAATTCCATACATTCATTTTCCCTGTCTGAAAAGGCCAACTCAAGGCCTAGATACAGGAAGTCATTCCGTCAATGCCTCTCGAAAACACATTCTTCTCTACAGACAAATATATTAACTCTGTGATGTATACTTCAATAGTTCAGAAAAAATAGATTAAGTGAAAAAATCCTTCACTAGGCACTGGGGAAAAAGTAGTTATTGATAAATGGTATTATTTTTACTAATGACTGAAAATACAAAAATCAAGCCACAAGCCTGAAACAACTCCAATCCCACAGATCTGAGAATATGCCCCAAGGCTGTGAATTCCTAATCCAATATGCAGGACTGATAAATGCCAATTAAATGCACAATCTAAATTAATGAAGATTAGTCTTAACTGTTTTAGAAAAGCCTGGCAATAAAATTGGGCAAAATAAAGAGTCAAGATGCCTTGGACTCATAAACTTTCTAAGCAAATTCAAGTCTCTTGTGATCTTCATGAATACTCTGAAATATCTGCTTTCCAAAGCCACAGCACATATCACTTAGACATGGTAACTAGCATAAGATATTTCTCTTTTTTAGCTTTTTGGGTTTACACCCGGCTATGCACAGGGCTCACTCCTGGCTCTGCACTCAGGAATTATCTCTGGAGGTGCTCAGGGGACCATATGGGATGCTGGGAATTGAACCCGGGTCGGCCGCGTGCAAGGCAAACGCCCTACCCGCTGTGCTATCACTCCAGCCCCACATAAGATATTTTCTTAATGTGAGGTCCATCATTCAATATAGCAACAGAGACCTGTGTGATTCTCACACAAAAGAACAGAGAAAGCACTGAGGGGCAAAAATGAACAACATGCATTTTCATAATATTCGATACACAATACTGCCAGAAAAAGACCAGGTATGAACCCAATTTTATATGACATCTTGGAAAATGTTCAGAAACCTCCTCTATAACATGGCACGCAGAAATGATCCGAAGATGCAAGCAGGGGGTAGGGGTGGGAGTGATGGGAGGGAACCTGGGGACACTGGTGATAGGAAATGTACGCTGGTGGACGGATGGGTGTTGGAATACTGTATGACAGCTTTGTAAGGGTATATCTCGCAGTGATTCAATAAAGAAAGAAATGATCTCAAGGCCAAAAAGTCTTAAAGCAGAAATGGTTCTACATATCTATCCGAACAGGACAGAGTTATCCTTTAAGCCACGGCTAAATCAGTAATGAGGCTTCCTTTACCAATAAGGAATTCTGGTGTCCTTGTTCCCAAATCCCCCCCACCAATAAATAATCAGAGCAGCATCATTTAAAAGATAGAATGCATACAGCATTGGCCCTTTTCCAATAAATGTTTTCCAAAAGTTGACACGTTTGCTTCATTGTGTCTTCATTGTGTCAAATCTTGTTTTATGGGTAATAACAATGATCACAGGCCAAAAATAAATTATAACACTGAAACAATGTTAGAGATAGTTGTCTTATTCTAATGTTTATATTGTTCTGAGAGATAACCATCTTAATGAGGAACAACCCTGTATTAGTGTATTGGTACATATCTTAATTCCCAAGGTGATGCTATATAAATGCCACTATCAGCCCTATGTTAGGAGTGGGGGCAGTATTCAGAGTACTTTGCTCTCTGTTTACCTCACATACTCAGGAAGCGGAAAAGCCAGCACTTGAATCCGAATCAATTCCTCATCTTTGGAACCTTGGGTGTACCATAAAACTGGAAATGTTTCTTCCAATGAAATATTTCTATATTTATAGCTTACTCGTCATTCCCACTAATATTCAGTCACTCACATACTAGCTGAATGAGCAGAATCCTGCTATTTATCATTTGCTTTTTTTAACTTCCTGCTAAAGAAAGTACAAAGTATTTGTGCTGATATGCACTGTGACTTTGTATTCCAAAACTGGATTTATATGTTTTAGGAACTCCCAATATCAAACCTCTATAACACGCTGTATAAAATAGAAGCTTAGCCCTGCTCCCAACTTCTCACACAGATCACCCAAACTCTGCTTAGTCACCCTGGCCCTGTTTCCTAGTCCCATAGGTACACAATGTCCAGGATGTCAAAAACTGCTTTTACCTCTGTAGATCATGTAAAGCGAATTTATGATGAATCTGATTATTAGGAGACTCTATCATTAATAATCCAGGATTGACCTTGTTCTAATTGATTATAATACAACGTGCATAGTCTGAAAACCCTTTCAATTTTCTTAAATTCCATTCTGCAACTTAAATAAATGTACTTTTACCTTAGCTCATCATATTACAGTAAAATGGTCTGTTTATGGGTTCGTCTCCCTCACTGGATCATAAAGGTCCTCAGGGAAGGGGCTGTTCCAAGGCTTATGCACAGTCTGGGCTCATGGTGGGCAAGTAATAAATATCTACTAAATAAGTCAAATGACTCCAAAAAGAGACAAACCTCTATCAGTGTTTCTAAGACTAACATTTATTGAGCACTTACTACATAACAGGCACTATAATAGGGAGTGTTAGAAACATTTCACTTAAGTTACATAGTGGTCCAAAGAAGGAAACATTCTTATTTCACCTATTTTTATAAATGTTAAATAAATCTGAGACTTAAGAGTTTAGTGACTTGTACAAAACAACAAAACTAGTCTATAAGAGACCTGGGATTCAAACCCAAATGAGCTGGTTTCAACATTATATGCCAGTGGTTTTTAGCCACTGGTCTGAGGACAGTGTTCGTCTGGAGGTAATTCTTACCATCTGCAGAAATGTACTACCCGTTATCATAGGGTATGCCTGGATAATTAAGTGGTACTATTTTAAATACTGTCATAAATATTAATATATACTATTATAATTTTTCAAAATTTTTTCCATGGCAGTACACAAAATATTTCTATTTTCACCAGTCTACAGGTGTAAAAACCTGAAACCACTGCCATATAGCCTCCCTACAAAGTTATAAAATCTAAAGTCTTTTGCCTTTTATATTGTTAGAAAGTTACTGTTAGTTGAGGAGATTTTTCCAAAAAGATTTACTAAAGTTCTGGCTTACATATTTTTATACGGGAGCCCCAAGTTTTCAATCCCCAGAACTGCATAGTCCCTTGAGCACTGCTGGGAATGACCCCAAACAACACTGGATGTGGCTACCCCCAAAATTATTGACCATAAAGTTGACTGATGTAAAATAGTCACAGAGTATCTAGAATTAACTAATCTACAAGAACTATTCAAACTGACTTTGGTTCAAAAACAACTGGAATGATGTAACTTATTTCTCAGCTATTTTTCTTCTTTGTGTATTTAGTGAAGTAGCTGAATTCAACTGATTGTCCTTTTCCAATGAATGACTATTGTTCATTCTGTGGTTTTCCAGCTACTCTTATAGAGAACAGTACATCTCTGC